GCTGGCCTCAGTTAGAGTCGTGGTCGAGGGGAGATGCGGCGAGGGGAGATGCGGCTAGGGCTCTTTTTCTTTTGATCGGGGACGAGGGGAGACGAGGGGCAAATTGGGTGAAAAAAATAAAATGGCTGAATGGAAAGGCCATTCAAGCCACCCCCCACCTGAATGAGGATTCACTCAAATTGAGTGAATCAGCTTTCCCACGGAAAGCCTTTCCTAGCCAAAATAAAGCAACCAAACAATGGAATTATCAGAATGATGTTTCCTTTCCATTCCATTCCTTCCAACCAAACATGCCATAAGAGTTTTGAATAGTTGACATTGCGAATTTGATACGCTACTCCACGCCACGAAGCAAGCGTAACATATAATCACACACACACACACACACACACACACACATATATATATATATACATATGTATATTTTACGGTATGAGGAGTATAGCTCCTCTTATATAACACCACTACTACGTGTGTGTGATATTATTAATGCAGCCAGTTTACTGGGGAAGCATAACGATGATCGACGCAGAGAGACGCCTTCTTGCAAACGCGCTTCTCGACTTGTCCAACCAGAGATTCGTCCTCCTTTCCGAATCCTGCATTCCTCTCTTCAACTTCACGGCCATCTACTCCTATCTCATCAACTCCAATCTCAGCTTCCTCGGCTCCTTTGACGACCCGAGAAGTCCCGGCCGAGGCCGCTACAACCCCCAAATGCAGCCCCACATCAAACTCTCCGACTGGCGAAAAGGCGCGCAATGGTTCGAACTCCACCGAGACCTCGCCGTCCGCGTCCTTTCCGACCGCAAGTTCTACCCGCTCTTCCGAGACTTGTGCCGCCCGGCGTGTTACAGCGACGAGCATTATTTGCCGACGCTCGTCAACATTCTTTACGGAGAATCGAATGCGAACCGGAGCGTTACTTGGGTGGACTGGTCGAGAGGAGGTCCTCATCCGGGGAGATTCGGATGGGGTGATGTGACGGATGAGTTTCTGAATCGAATAAGGTTTGGATCGAAATGCTTATACAATGGCAACGAGACCTCCATGTGTTTCCTTTTCGCGAGAAAGTTTTTGCCAAACGCGTTGGAGCCTCTGCTGCGAGTTTCACCTGTGTTGCTTGGTTTTGATCCGTAGATATGGCATGTTTTTCGTCAAACATTCATGTGATTGATTATGACAGGATATAATTTGTTTGTGTAATTCATTTCATCTGCTTCTCGTCTTATGTTTCTCAAAGACGCGTTTTGAGAAATATAGGAGGAAATCTTTAATTCTTAAAACTAAAAATCACAATAGTGTAATTATTGAATGAGAAATCAAATACAAGCCAAGGCATGAAACTAATAACTAATCAAAATTTGGTACTTGTCATACTTGATGTTGTATTTCACATTTAGTTTTAAGCTAAATTTGACATTTAATTACGGCATTGCATTAAAAACAGTAGTTTCTTACTACAAGTATCAAATTTGGATAGTGACATACAAATGTAACATTGCATTATAGGATTTGAAAAATGAGAGGTATTTCAAAATAAAAATGTCAAATGCTAAAAGCCCAAATGTAAGAGCTATAAAGTGTTAAAATAACATGTTTGGTGTATTGTTCTATTTTATGCTCCACTGTATCCACTTTTTTATCATAAGTTTTCAGCTTTCAGAAATATAAAAGTATAATTTTTCAGTTTTTAAAAATTAAAAAAAAAGTAGCGAAAGGGTCGCACATCAATAAGTAAATAAATGCGAAAATTTTGTATTGTATTTGACGGGTTATTAATCTTGTATTGTGCTATTTGTTTATCTGTTTCTGTATGAATACAAGTTTTCCTTTCAGAAAAAAAGTAAATGCGAAAATTTTGAATCTTCTTTTTTAAGGTATTTTAACATCTTCTATATTTGGTAATTTAGCACTTTTAACATTAAAATTAACATTTCATTGGATAATAATTTTATTACTAAAATGCCATATTTATCCTACCAAATGAAATACTATAACAAATGTACGGTACTGAATATGTAAAATGAACACAAATTGTTGGAGCCAAGACATGAGAATAGAAGTTACAACTGAATTAGCTATAGGTGTAATTAATTTGCTTATCACAATTCAAACTTTTTTATTAGAGTATTTTTTTTTTACAAAAATTGAAAATTATATTAAACATTGTGATTAGCCAATATTTTTTTCTCTTAGAATGATTACTTAAAGTTACAATTTATTGCCAGACGTGGCTAAGAACAATAGCCAAAGTGTTGCAATTTGGAGGCCAAGTAAACCAGCCACATTAATGGGTTTACTTTGTGGCTTTGGGCTATTCAACCTATGCCTGAAGGAATGATCACTTAGGGCTCGTTCACTTCACTGATTTGAGTTTGTAATTCGAGTTGAGATGTGATTTTGTGTGAGAGCTTTTTACTATAGTAAAAAAGTTAGATGTGACCGTTTCTGAGAGCTTTTTACTGTAGTAAAACTCGAATCGGCAAAATGAATGGGGCCTTAGTAGCCGTCGAATAGGCCATTATTGCAACTGCGGGGATAGTAGAAGAACAGATGACTTTGTCAGGATGGTTGAGGTGCTAACATCTTTTTATTTCTAAATTTATCTTATGCTATTAAAAAGTATTTTGTAGGTTATTTTCATATCCGGTAGTAAGGCCGTACAAATATATCCTCATCCGTCTACCCACCCGCTCCGCTCCACCCTGCTATTGGTGGGTGTGCATTAAAACTGCTCTTCAGGCTGGCGGGGTGGTTTTAATCCGCCCTTTTTAGCGGGCGGTTGCGGATTGGAGTTTGGGACCGCGGTTTGAAACCATCCTCATCCGTCTACCCACCCGCTCCGCTCCACCCTGCTATTGGTGGGTGTGCATTAAAACTGCTCTTCAGGCTGGCGGGGTGGTTTTAATCCGCCCTTTTTAGCGGGCGGTTGCGGATTGGAGTTTGGGACCGCGGTTTGAAACCACTTTTTAGAATTTGAATTATGATTTAAATTGTATTTTTGATTTTTGAATTATGATATGGTTTTGAACTTTAATTTGTCATTGATGTACTTAGTTTAAATTATGTTCATCAATAATTATTCATCTATAGTCATATTTAGTTTTATTCATTATATCAAGTACTTTGAAGCTTTAACAAAAAAAATACAAATAACGAACCGCCTAATATGGCCCTCAAGCCGCCCGCTAAAAAATACCGCCCAAACCGTCTAAATTTTGGTCAGTTACGGATTAGAATTTTCACAAACCAACATATAAAAAAACACCTAAACCGCTCAATCCGCCCTCTGTGCACCCTTATTGTAGTGACCAAGAAAAAATCCCATAATTTTAATAATATAATTCATGTATTCAAGTCAAGGATTTTCCGGGAAAATCATAATACTATGTACATTTTGTGATTGAAGGATTTAGAGAATTAACATCTGCATTCCTAAATTCTGTAGCAGATTTCACGTTAAGTTCACATTTTTCCGATCAAGTAAATTCGATCGATAAATTCTCACCGTACTTTAAAACGGAAGAATTTCCAGTATAGATACAGTTAGAGAATCTTAATTTTAAAAATCTCCCAGCACAGTACAACCTAGCATCCAAAACCCGTATACAGGAGAAAATAACTGTCAGTATGAGTTTGGACAGTTTTAATGAGTAAGTTAAGGGAATGGACAAAAGTACAAGGTGTAGGTTAGTGTGTGTGATTTGATGAGATGTGATGAGAGAGGTGAATAGGACTAATGATTAGTTTTTTT